GGGCACCTGGCCAGCTTGGAGGCTGTCAGATAGCGGAGAGAAGATGGGGGGATATCTGGGGTGCAGGAGAGTCAGCAGAGCGAGGAGGGGAATCAAGGGCTTAGGCTGAGTGTGGTAGAGAAGGCCAGCAAGGAGCAGAGGCCAGTTCAAGCAGAGGACTGGGGGAAGGTTTGGAAGGCCAGTCTTGTGTAGATACTGGGGAGCCACGGAAGATACTTGTGCTCTGAGTAACTCTAGGAGGAAAGATCTGATTGAGCTGGAAGTTGGTTCAGGACGGCAGTTGGTCAAGAGGCCAGGGCAGTGACCAGTGACAGTGGGGGATATCCTGGTGTCCCGCCCACTGAACTGGACTGGCTGGAACCCTGAGGAGGCTAACCTAAGGGAGGAAGGGCGAGCCAGCAGGGACAGGGAGAGGAGCCAGAGGAGACCCAGGGCCTAGTTAGTGACTCTAAAATGGGCTCTCACATCTGTGAAGGGCCACACTGTCTATAGTGGTATCCCCAGCCCTTTGTCCTACCCCCTTGCAGGTCCCAGGGGCTTGCCAGGGGGAGCTGAACCTCTGCCTGGGAATGGGCACTAGCCACTGCTGGGGAGGGGGACACTGGTTCTCTACATGGGGCTGACCTTGCACTGGGGGTTCTGGTCTCTCCTGGGGTGAGGTGGACATCTGCAGGGGGGTACTATGCTGGGGGAGCTTGATTTCTCTCCTGGGGGGCAGGCTAGAGCTATGCTGGGGAGCTGGACCTCTGCTCCAGACCTAAAGGACCCGCCCCCTCCTCAGACGTCTCAGGGAAACTGGGCAGTGGGAAGGCCCATGGAGGAGCCACCTCCAACAGCTCAAGCCCTGGTACTGGAGGCCACTGTGCCAGGCACAGCCCTCGCTTCTTGCTCAGGCTTGGGCGAGGCCCCGGCAGCATGAGAGGTGGGAGGATCCTGGATGCCTATCCGCCTGTCCCAACCAGCTGAGGCCCTGACCCTGCCAGCTTCCTGTCCCACAGGTTCACCGGAGCCAGCCTCCCAGCCCCTGTCATCAGCAGCAAGAACTGGCTGCGGCTGCACTTCACCTCCGACGGCAACCACCGACAGCGTGGCTTCAGCGCCCAGTACAAGGTAGGCAGGCCGGGGCGGCCACGGGTCCTCGGTGGGCGGCAGACGTGATACCAAGGGCAAGCTCACCCTGTCCCAAACTGGGTCTGGTGTGTAATGTGGCTTCAGGGCATACTCTCCTCTGTTCTTTTTTTTTTTTTTCCAATCCTCACCCGAGAATATGCTTATTGATTTTAGTGAGAGAGGGTAAGGGGGTGGGGGGGCGGGGCAGAGAAAGAGAAACATCGATGTGAAAGAGAACACTGATAGGTTGTCTCCTGTACGTGCCTGATCAAGGATCAAACCTTTCAGTATATAGGACGACATTCCAACCACCTGAGCCACCTGGCCAGCGCTGAGGTCCTGTTCTTATTGCAGACACGGAGATCTGTATAACTGCATCTCTACATCTGCCTCTGCGGTCTGTGGCCCAAGGGAGTGACATTTCTCAAATGTGTAGGCCAAGTCGCCCCACTGCAGGCCAGGCTACTCATAACACTCAATATCGTGCTAGACACTTGATCAGCATCATCATATTTAATCCTCATCATTGCCCTGGGAGCAATGATGAGGATTAAATGTCACCATTCCCATTTTATGGACAAGGAAACGGAGCACAGAGAAATTAAGCTAGTTTCCCAAGGCCATCTGAACTGCCTTTTAAATCTAGAGTTCGCCCTCTTAGCCTACCCCAGTGTAAAGTGGGAGAACAGTCACATGTCAGCCCTCTCATTTGATGTAGAGCACAATGCATTTCACATGTAGGCAACATAACTTAAGGAGCACTATCGCTTAGAGGCTCAAATCTCTCAAGAGGTGTCAGTGGCCAGAGATCAGACCAGGAATGGCAGGTGGAAAATGCAGGGAGCAGATTTCTACTCCAATCATGGAGAATTTCTAACCCCAAGAGCCACCTATAGAGAGGAGTGGGTGAACCCCAATCAGGGAGCTCTCTAGGACCCAAGGAGATTCAAACTGCAAGGGACATATGGGAGGACATTCCTTTCAACCTTGAGTTTATTCGCAATGCACACAATTTACAGAGCTAAACACCAGTGGTTTGCTACATAACTTGCTCATTAAGCCTTTAACTGTTACCAATTACAAATTGATGTTGGTTCTAATTGATTCCATAATGAACTTGGATTGTGCACCTATTAAGGATCCAGCCCTTAGGAGGCTCGGGGGAATAAAAAGAGGAGTGGACTTGCATTGTGAGGGAGGGAGGGAGTGAAGGATGGAATGAATGAGGGACTGAGGGAATCAGTGAGGAGCTGAGTGAGGGACTGGGTGATGAGGGTCTCACTGTGAGGGACTGAGGAAGGGAGTGGGCACACAGTGACCGTGCCAGGGGCCTGAGGGAAGAGTGAAAGTGAACTCTAATCACTGCCCTGTGCTGAGAGGGAGCCATTGATACCCAGTGGAGATCTGGGCAGCTGTCCCTTCTGGCCCCACTCGAGCCACACAGCGCAGCACCCTGCCCACCCCAGAGGCCGCACTGGCAGGGCAGGGCCCCCGCCCAAGCCAGGCTTTCTGGCTGGAAACTGGGATAAATGCAGCACCGGAGGCAGAGCGTTCCCTTCAAAAGTGAACCTCTGATGAGTGCCCTCCTTGCCTCAGCCGTGGGTAGAAGGACATCTTTGAAATATTTACAAAATAAACAAGAAACTCCCTGGGAGGCGTCATGGGGACATTTTTCATGACTGAGGCTGGGCCTTTGCAGGAGTGAGGCGTCTGTCTGGACCTTCCCATGGGTTTCCCAAAATAGACAAGCAGAGATGAATGTTGTCATTTCATCGGATTAAATAGGTGCTGGGTGTTTCTCATATTTCCATTTACTCAGGGTCCATTTGTCTTGGTCATCAGTTAAGGTTTGATGCCAGACAATGGGCAGTGAGAACCCAAACCAGAAGGCTAGGAGGTCAGGAGCACACGTAGGTTGCACACCTACTGTGCACCAGGCCCTGTGTTAGGCACTGTGTGTGCATTGCCTTTTTAGAGTTTCCCCACAACACGTATGTTTTTAATTCCCATTTTTCAGCCGGTGGAGCTGAGGCTCAGAGAGGTTATGTAACCAGCCCAAAACACACACACACACACACACACACACACACACACACACACACACACACACACACGACAGCCTGTAAGTGGCGAAGCTGGACTTCGCAGGCTATTGTAAGTTTTCTGCAAAATCATAGGACCTTCTCTTACAGCACTTTGGGTGTCTTGCCTTTTCTATTTGACTGGTAGCTTTTAAACTTTGTTTTGTTAATCTCACTCCACTGTAAAAAAAACTAAATTTTCCATCACAACCCAGTACACACATATATCTGTAGAACTAAAAGGAAAATGTCACTAAGTGGTATTTACCCTGACTCAACGTGAGGCACCCTGAAAATGTCTTTTCCAATTTTTAATGTTAGATGCAACCTCTATAAGAATTTCACAAGTCTGTAGCAGGGAGCAACCTGAAACCTGAAAAACTGTTTCACTTATGAACCTCTTAGAAGTAGGCCCTGTCTTATCCTCTCTCTGTCTCCCTCAACACAGCCTGGGACGGGTTTGCACATTGGAGCGTGTCAGTGTTTGTAAAGGGCTTTCTTCCTAGTTGCGGGCTCGTGGCATTTATTGCTTCATTCCATCCTAACAGCAGCTGTGTGAAGTAGGGACCGCCATCAGCACCACTTTATAGGTGAGGGCTGAGAGTTGCAGAGAGGGTGCGTGGCCGGCTCAAGCTCCCATCGCTGGTGTGTTGGAGCAGTGACTTGGACCCGGCGGCCGTGTTCCCCAGGATCCAACATGCTTACATATGGAGATGTGTGCTGATGGTGGGAACAAATGATTCTCCCCAGGACCTTCTTTTTATAGCGCTTTCCAGGATGGGTGTACGTAGTGAAAGGGTATACACTAATCATTTAGTAATTCCATCGGTGACTCCATCACGCAGCATTTCTCAACCTCAGCACTGTTGACATGTGGCCTGGAGAATTCTGTTGTGGGGGACTGTCTGTGCACTGTGGGATATTGAGCAGCATCCCAGGCCTCTACCCACTAGATGCCTGATGCCAGTGGCACCCGACACACATACACACAGTCGTGACAACCAAAACGTCTGCAGACATTGCCAAGTGTCTCCTGTGTGCAAAGTTACTCCTGATTGAGAGCCACTGCTCTAAAGGAATGAAAAACTAAAGACCAATCTATGGTTTCCTGCCTGCAGATTCAATCCAAAAGAGTGGCCAAGACAGGGCTAAGTTAGGGGGCTAGCAGGAGACAGAAGGCATACTGCACGGCTTAACTGGGCTTAGTGAAGGGGCCAGTGACAGAGGTAAGGGTGGGATTAAAGGAATCCATAGGGACTAAATAACAGAGACACCCTTAGGCTAGGGAAAGGGTCAGGGAGGGAGCAGTGAGTGCTGAAGCCATTGAAAAGGGGCTCTGTAGCAGGACTCAGGAGCCTGAACACTGCCAACCCACAGTGCAGGAGGGAGCCCCAGGAATCAGTAACCAGTGCAGGAGGAGGGAGCCCCAGGAATCAGTAACCAGTGCAGGAGGAGGGAACCCCAGGAATCAGTAACCAGTGCAGGAGGAGGGAACCCCAGGAATCAGTAACCAGTGCAGGAGGAGGGAGCCCCAGGAATCAGTAACCAGTGCAGGAGGAGGGAGCCCCAGGAATCAGTAACCAGTGCAGGAGGAGGGAGCCCCAGGAATCAGTAACCAGTGCAGGAGGAGGGAGCCCCAAGAATCAGTAACCAGTGCAGGAGGAGGAAGCCCCAGGAATCAGTAACCAGTGCAGTTAGGAGGGAGCCCCATGAACTAGTAACCAGACCTCTCCTTCCTCCCTCCCTCATGTGCCTCCCACCTGCCAACCCAACAGGAAGCCAAGAGCAAGGGCCCAGATGCCCTGCCCTGGTCTGCTCTGTGCGAGGGAGTCTGCCCTGCCTCACCAGTGGGCTCCCTGATTCTCTGGCAGTCCATGGAGGTAAGCCTCTGGGCAACCTGAGCAGGACAGGGACATCTGAGAGTGGACCCGGGGAGTCACCAGCTCAGGACCCATTTCACCTGTGCTCAGCCTTATGGCATCCGAGTCTCAGTGATGTATGGCATCACTTCTGAGCTAATAATTACCAACTCATAATTGTATTGGTGAGTATATCATCCCAAAGAAAACAAACAATGAATTAAATTCATAAATAACCTACAACATAGCACATTCCATTCCTATCTCAGCCCAGTCAGAATTTAGGGTTGTTCGTGGCCAGACACAATTTTAACTAATGCCACGTGGTGTCAGAGGATCTGAGTTCTAGTCTGGCTGTGCCTCCAGCTGGCTGTCAGAGGTGGGCAGTGGTATGTAACTTAACAAGCATTGTCTGTGTGGCACTACCACGTGACAGCATAGAAAGATGAGTGCAGGCAGACCACTATCTGGTCTCAAGAACAGGTGAGTCAAGAGAGGAATAGACACAAGTCTGTAACTTCTGTACAGCATGATAAGAGCTATAATTGAGGCCCTTAAAGGCCCAGGACTACAGATAAAGGAGCAGTTAGTTTTGTGGGAGGCACCTACGAAAAGCCACACACACGAAAAAAAGAACCCACAAAATTGTGGCAGTGACTTCACCATGGGCCTCAAAAAGATGCCAGGTGGACAGTAGAAAGAGGCATTCCAGGTAGCGCCAAAGCAGGAGGGCATAAAAGCGTGCACTCTGCAGAACCACAAATATTAATGTGTCTCTAGAGCAGAGACGGGCGAACCGCAGCCCGCAGGCCAGATGCAGCCCTCTGCCTGTCTTCCTAAGAATAGGTTTTACATTTTTAAACAGTCCAAGAAAAAAAATCAAAAGAAGATGATTTCATGACACATGAAAATGGTATAAAATGTAAATATCAGTGACCATAAATGCGGGTTTATGGGAACACGGCTTCGTTCTCTGATTTATGAATTGTGTATGGCTGCTATAGCACTGCCTGGGCAGAGCTGAGCAGTTTGCAGCTGAGATGGATGGCCCACAGCCTAATATATCTACTCCCAGGCCTTTTGCAGAAAACATCTACTGAGTCAGAACAAAGCCCGCAGTCTAGAGCGGAGGTGAGCAGCGAGGGGCAGCGAGGCCTGAGGCCAAAAGGTCAGGTAGGGCTCACGTTGTGAAAAGCTGCAGTAAAGTTGGGCTTGATCCCATGGGTGATGAGAGGTGATCAGAAGTTTTTAACAGGAGGGAGATGGGATCACATTTTCCTTTTCCAAAGCTCTTTGATTGCTATAGAATGAAAATGTGGGGGAGAGGGCGGTGAGGAGCCTTGAGAATTAGAAGATGATGAGGACCAGGGTGGAGGGGAGGAGACAGACCAGACGAGATCTTCCCATGGTGCACTTTCACTGGACTCGTGACTAGTTAGATTTGGGAGTGAGAGGGGATGGGGGAAGGAGATGAAAGAGTCAGAGATGATACCTTAGGTTTCTGGCTTGAGTAAGTGAGTAGAAAATTATTATATTAACCAGGATGCTCTTGGGCAGAGGCAGTTGGGGGATGAGTTTTGCTTGGGACACATTGATTTTTGGGTAGTATTGGGATATCAGGGGACTATCTAGCAGGTAGTTGGCTATTCTGCCAGTCTGTAACTCAAAGAAGGATATAGGCTAAAGACAGAGATGTGAAAGGTTCAAGGCAAAATAGAGGCTGGGGCCACAGTCCTCTCTTAGAGTGGGAGTCCTCCCCATGTATATCACATCAGAGGAGGAGCCCAAAAGAGTGGGTTTTCAAAGTGGGTTCCTTCGAGGCCAAAGGTTTCTCCCCGCAGCTGTTCTGATAGAGGCTGAATGGGTGGGACTCCAAGTTTCCACCCCAACTTCAACCAGAGCAGTTCCTCTTTCATGTATTTTGTGTAGCAGAAATTTACCCAAGAGTGTTAAAATGATGGAAGTTTAGGTCCTGTACCTAAACTTGGGAACCCCAGGACTTGAAGGACCACAGGTTCTTCCAGTTTTGGGAGACCACTGAGGTTGTGTAACTCATCCCTCTGCCTCCAGGAACATTTTCAATTCTTCTCAATGTTCATTACTTTCTTGATTTTCTCAAGGCTTCAATGAATCAGAGTGAGAAGAACCTTTCTTAAATGGCCCCAGTAGTGAATGATCACAACTAGTGAGGGACCCCTCACTATCACCCTCCTCACCTGTAAAGAGGGAATAATATTAACCCCATGGGGCTATTGGAAATTAAAAGAGATCCTGGTGAAGTATCTGGGATGTGGTAGATGCTCAGGAAATGGGACCCTGAAGCTTCAGACCCCACCAGGTACCTTGACTCTCTGTGCAATAAGAGCGAGCTGGCGGCTCTGGCTCCTCCTTGGAGGTGTTCCCTTTGCCGGCCACTCTGACCTAATAATCATCATCTAGTGCCCGCCCCTCCCTTCGGCCAAATCCTAGCCCGGCCCCACTGTCCCTTTCACTGCCTCTTGTCAATTCAGTGCTGGTGACCAGGAGATGGGAGATGTTCTACAGAGAAACTATTGGCTCCTCGGCTTTCTAGAAGTCCTGTAAACTCAGTTGTCTGCAGAATAAACTTTTCCATTTGGAAACAGTTTGCATTTGCTGAGCTGCTTGGGGCTGTTTATAGTAACAAGCTGAAGCTTGTTTTTCACTTGAACCTGTCCTGTTCTTGCTCGTGACTGATCTGCAGTCTGGACCAGAGCGGAAAGCGCCTCAGGCACCCCGTGGTCCATTCTCTGACTCTTTTGTCCTCTCCTGTTAGCCTGCTGAGTTGCCAAACTCTAGCCAGCCTCATTTCCAGGTTCGGGGTCCCCAGGGACCTTTGCACAGATTGCTGAGTTGGCACTACCTGGCTCAGGAGCCCACAGAGCCAGGCTTCTGAATTCAACCAAGAGTGAGCCTGAACTGAAAAGTGAGAGCATGAACACAAAAATGGGGCACTCCTCACCCCACCAGCGAGTAGAACCCATTCCTTTTTCCAAGAAATGAATTCCCAGGACATATTTTTCTAAAAGTTGACCATTCACCCACTTGGTCATCAGACTATTATCAGAAACCTTCTCTGTGCCTGTCTGTGTGTCTGTCACAGGATACAGACATAGGAGCTCATGGGACAAATTGGCAGGAGAACCAGAGAGGACACTGCGGTGCATTAGGCTTTCTGTGGTCTGAATGCAGTCCCGAGAGAGCATCAACTTCTCCCTGGGATGAGGGACAGCCACAGAGAGCAGATAACCTCTGAATGAGGCCTAGACCAGCAAGAGAAGAAAAGAGAGGAGGGGAGGGAAGGGGAGGGGAGAGGAGAGAGGGAAGGGGCATTTCAGGAGAGAGAACAGCATTGCAAAGGCAAACTAAAACCAATAACCGATGGCCACGGTGATTCCCTGAAACATCTTTCCTCCGGTCCTTTTCTCCAGCTGACTTCTCGAAGTAGTTTGTGAAGATCATTGCACAGTCCATTAATAACAAAGCACTATTCTAGAAATTAGAACAGTCCGCCCCCACACTGCCCCCCATCTCCCATGCCAGGGTCCTTCTCTTCTTTAGGAATTCCGGTAGCTAGAAGCTTTGCTGTGGTTAACCAAGAAGTCGCACCAGCAGCATCCAGCAGAGCACCTCTTACCACCTGAGCTGGGTTGATTTCCTTCTTCCGCCCTATTCAAAAAGACAAATCACCCAGCCTGTGCATAACCTGCTTCTGCATATATTTCTTAACTGTCAATAATCCTTCAACACCTGCATTCTTAGCAATAGTATTGCCAGGATGTGGAGTGATTGTTTCATGATTTCCACACCAATGTTTGGCTTTTTATTAGCGAGAGCAGTGAATTCAGGGCTGGAGTGCACTAAAGCAAAGTACCCAGACAAAGCCCTTTCTTGTAGCATTTAGTGGGTCTTTGACTTTCTCTTCATTCTCCTCCACTCCATTTGTCCCAGCAATCCTCAGCACAAGGACAATCTGAAGTTCCACCAGATGGCCTTTTAGTTGTTTTTTGTCACCATCAGTCATGGTAACGTTCTAACTCCTCGATGGCTTCTTGAGTATGTTTCTCAACTCGAATCTTGTCACCTTTTCCTTGCAAGAACATGGCATCATCTTGGGTCACAATAACCACTCCAACTTTTTCTAAGTCATGGAGCGAAACATCTTAAAGATTGAGAGACCAGCTCACGTTTCCAAACCCCACACCATCAGTAGCCCCAGCTACTTTCTGTGACACCGGAACCTGGAGCTTGGACTGCTGTGACTGGAAAGCCAGCTTCTATCCTATTTAAAATGAGTGGACTGAGAGCATCTTCAGCAATTACAACCAAAGACCTGCATTGGCCTTGGCAATTTCCAGAGTGGGTACAGTGGACAGGACACTGGAAATCAGAAGTATCCCAGAATTCCCCTTTCTGAGCTTTTTATGCATTACTCAACTAGAGGGATGTGGACTCTTAGTTGAATTCTGTGCCTTCAATTCCTAATTCACCACTCAATGTTTTTCTGCCCTATGATGTGAGGACACTCTCCCGAATCTTTGTGATTCCATCAAAAATGATGTCGCTGATTTCTCTGTCTCCATTTGCAGGAATTGTGGCAAAGTGAGCAATCTCTTCAGGGGTTAGCATAGGTTTAGGGGGCTTCTTTCTCAATTTGTGGTTACAGCATCAACATGCAACATCACACCTTCCTGGTTTCCCCTGGTGAACACCTTTGCTCAACCTGAAGCCTTCCCTGGCCACCGAACATTCCAGTGCGTAGCAGGGTGGTGCCACCACAGCCTCTTCATTTATGTGTTGGCAGCATCCTGGTCAAATCTGGTGTGATGGTTTTATATTTATTCTGTAAGGCATCTGACCTGGCAACAGACACCTCACCTTTGGTTGCTTCCCAGCTGTGCTTCGAAACCCCTGTCCTCCCCACTGCTCTTCTCCACGGCAAGGACGTGGGTGTCTGCTGGAAGCAGTAGGTCTTAGGCATCTGCACTGAATTTTACATCCGTGGCATAAATCTGACTGAGATGAGGAGCCAGTGTGCTAGAAGGACTGAGAGTAATGAAAGTATTCCTGCAGGCTGCTGCCAGGCGGTGAGGCAGGCCTCTGTGACGAGGGACAGAGTGCAGGAGGCACATCCACATTTTCAAAGGGGAGATCAGATTTCAGTTTTTAAAAGATTACGCTCTGCAACGTTTTTAAAGATGGGCTAGAAGAGACTGAACCGGTGAACAAAATCAAGTGGAAATGATGAGTTTAGGGCAGGAGTGGCTTAGAACATGGAAAGAAGGTACACATTGGAAACTTACTTAAGGTTGAATGAATTGGATTTGGTGAGGGAAGTAGGTGTGTGTGTGGCGGGGGGGGGGGGGGGGGGGAGGGGAGGCGATGAGGGGATGCTCCAACCAGCAGGACAGCCCAGTGGTGGGGAAGGGGGGTGATCAAGATTAGGGCATGATCGCCCTGTGGAGGGAAGTCTGAATCCATTGGGAAGAGCAGAAACTGCAGGTTCCACCACCCGAGATTCCCAGAGCCTTGGAGAGAGGTCAGACCTCCCTCTCCACTCTACTCACAGGTCCTGTCTCTGGCTAGCTCAGCCCAATAACTCATGCTGGAGGCTGGAGAGGCACTTGTATTGCCAGATTCTTCTAGCTAAATGTGTACCATGTGTCCCGCTAACCTTTACAGCAGCGGGGAAACGTCTTGTAATTAACCAGAATATAAAGGATGAATGGAGCAGCCTGGCAGGCTCCTGTAGGCATTATCATTCGCAGGAGATGAATGCACCTAGTAAGATTTCCATCAACCAGTTAAAGCCCGAACTCCTCGCCTGGGAACCCTGACTGTTCACATTCAGCACGAGAGCATGTGTGAGTGTATGTGAGCACTGACAGACACATGTACACAGTGCGCCGTGTGCTCTGTGGACATGACGCCCCCTCATGTCCTCCTGCACCTCCCGGTTCCCCTCCAGCAACTTCAAGGAAACCCCATGCAGGATTTGCCCCAGGAATGGCATCCATGGTGCACTGGCCCTTTCCCCACCCCCCTTCCCAAGTGCACAGGACAACTGGAAACAAGAGAACTGGGAAGACTGACTCCCCTCCTCCTTCTTGGCTAGGTGCCCAGTCATCTCCACAGACCTGGCCTCATATGGGCCGCACTGGGTGACAGAGACCTGCCCCCAGCCTCTGCCCCCACCCCTGCCCCAATGCCTGGCCTGGGGAGAAGAGACCCCCCCCCTACCCCAATGCTGGGCCTCAAGGAGAAGAGAACCCCCACACCCCTACCCCAATGCTGGGCCTCAGGGAGAAGAGAACCCCCCACACACACACCCCTACCCCAATGCTGGGCCTCAGGGAGAAGAGAACCCCCCACACCCCCCTACCCCAATGCTGGGCCTCAGGGAGAAGAGAACCCCCCACAGCCCCTACCCCAATGCTGGGCCTCAGGGAGAAGAGAACCCCCCACACCCCTACCCCAATCCTGGGCCTCAGGGAGAAGAGAACCCACACCCCTACCCCAATGCTGGGCCTCAGGGAGAAGAGCTCCACTGGTCTTGCAGTGCTGGGACCACTCTCGTTCTCTTGGGATGATCAAATCAGAGGAATTTTCCCTGCCGCACTCTATTAGCTAGGCTTGAATAATGCATGCTCCCCTACCGACACCCTCTGTTTAATAATGGTCCATGTTGGTGTTCATTGGAAATTTTCCTGCTGGATACACTTGGAGAGTAATGCACATTTATAAAAGGGTCTGAGTGCACATTAGAAAGCAGGGGCTCTGTGGTAGTTACTGAATTCTGTCAGGTGTTCAGCTTCGACAGCAACTTGGCAGAGGCAAATCCTTGGGGAGCTTTTTGATGCAGGCAGAGCGGGTGGGGTAGGGGTGCTGGGCGGTGGACCCCTGGCACACCTGGTCACTGTGGGCTTTAGTTTCAGGATTGGCACGTCACCACAAGTGCAGAGCAACTGCCTGAGTTTCCAGGGCCTGAGCTGGGAGGGGCAGATGCTGGAGAAGGTGGACAGTGCCCCTGGGATTGCTGTGGGGGCAGGTCGCAAGAGAAGATGCTGAGGTTCGGCAGAGAGCACAGCCCTTTGCTATCTCCATGACCTAGGGCAGTGGTTCTCAACCTTCTGGCCCTTTAAATACAGTTCCTCATGTTGTGACCCAACCATAAAATTATTTTCATTGCTACTTCATAACTGTAATGTCGCTATTGTTATGAATCATAATGTAAATATCTGATATGCAGGATGGTCTTAGGCAACCCCTGTGAAAGGGTCGTTCCACCGCCAAAGGGGTCGCGACCCATAGGTTGAGAACCGCTGACCGAGGGCAAATCACTTTAACCGCTGGGACCTGATTTTATTATCTGTTAAGTAGGTATAATAACTACAGGTGAAGGTGGTGGAGTGTATAAGGACCAAATGAAATGAGTATTGAGTGCCCACTGTGCGCCAGGCACTATTCTGGGCATTGACGATACAGCAGTGAACACAATAGCCGAAAACCCCTGCCTTTGTGGAGCTTACATTGCATTGTGGGGTGACCAGACTCGCTAAGTAAATGACATAGTGTGTGAGAGAAAGTTTGGGAGATAAAGTAGGGAATGGGAGGGAGAGTTGGGGTTGGAGGTGTAGTTTTAAATGGAGCAGTGTGAGAAGGCCTCCATGAGGAACTGGTGTTTACGTGAATACTTCAAGGGGGAAAAGGAGAGAATCATAAAGATTTCTGGGGGAGAGCCTTCTAGGGAACTGGCCAGCGGGAGCAGAAACATGCCTGGCATATTATAGGAACAACAGGGAGGCCTGTGGCTGGAGGAAAGTGATTGAGGTCGTGGGGAGGGCAGATAGGTCTGTGCGGGCCATTTTAAAGGCTTCAGCTTTCCCTCTAGGAGACAAGGGTTGCCGCTGATGAGTTCTGAGCAGAGATGTAATATGGTCGCACTTATGTTTTAAAGGATCCCTTTGGCTCTTGCGTTGAGAACAGATTGTAACAGGGGCAGGAGGGAAGATGGGAGGCCATGGCAACAGGGAGAGAAGTGGTGCAGGGTTGGGTCAGCATGATAGACATGGAATTGCATTTGGATAGATTCAGAAAGGTTTGCTGATGCAGCGGTGTGGGTGGAAGGAAAGAAAGGAGTCAAGGACGCTGATGTTAATAAAGAACTGGTAAGGCACTTAGCCCAGGGCCTGGCACCTAGGAAGTGCCTGGTCACAGATACTGCTGCCATGGCTGGGTGTCTAAGTGGGGCTGAGTCAGCCTGCAGAGGCCAGCTGTGAGATGCCACGGGGCTCTGGGAGTGGATAGATACCTGCAAGCCACCTAACCAGAGACAGGACGAAGCCCTTGGAGGCCAGCAGAGTGCACTGGGGAGCTGGGGTAGTCACACCCAAGATGGTGGATTTATGTAGGGGAGTGGTCTTTGGAATTGAGTTCTGGCTCAGGCGACTTGGCTGTGTTATTTGGCAAAGTCCTAAAAACCTGTAGACTGGACTCGGTGATTGGATCAAAACCCAGTTCAATCCATCAGGCCAGCACCTGAGCCAGGCACCACCCCCAAAAGGCCTCCAGGACCCAGCTTCTCCTGCCCACAATAGGTCGGCGGGAGTAGGCTGTATTGATTGGCTCCACAGGTCCCTTGTCCTCCTGGGACCAGCCATGTCTTTCTCCTCCCAGTGATGCCAGGGGGCAAGACTGATCTGATAGGCCCTTTTCAAGCCTTTGGACATGTCAAGGCCTCCAAAATTCCACTGCCCAAACCCAAAGTCAAGGAGGACACAGTCACCTTGCAAAGGGTGTGGATTCAGAGGAGGGTGACAATTTGGTGCCATTATCCAGTCTAACACACCAGGTCAGGGCTGGTTTGGGGCATGGGCAGGGCTGAATCTGCAGGGAAGCCGACAGGCAGGGCTTCCCAGGTGCACAGGAGGTCACCTGGTCTGCCTGGCCCAGAGGACCAGCCTGGATAGCAGCTCTTGCTTCAGGTCTGGGCGCCTCCTGCACTTGAATGCTACCCTTGGTGTATCCTTGCCTAGAGGGGCTTCTGGCGTTAACCCAGCATGGAAAGTCTCAAGCCAAGAGAGGGATCAATCCAGAGGGCCCCATCCCTAACCACAGACAATAACTTAAACATTTTTCCCTCTTGCTTCCTCTCTAGTCAAGAAGCAAATCGAGTTGAAGTCTCGAGGTGTGAAGCTGATGCCCAGCAAAGATAGCAGCCAGAAGACATCTGTGTGTAAGTGTCTGCCCGCTGGCCCGTGCCAGCCTCTCGCTTTACCTCAGACCCTCCGGTGCTGTGACCATGGGGGAGCCAGATGATGCTGCAATGATTTCCCTTCAATCCTGCCTCCCTCCGTCCCAGGCTCTGCGCATGGACACACTGGCCTGGTGGCCAGTGAGCAGCCCAAGGGCCTGTCCTCAGCCTTCTCCTCCTCCCCGTCTTCCCATCTCCCTCCTCGCTCCTCTTTCTCCCTCACTTCCCATTCTAACTGTAGTCCAGGGAGTCATTACTGCTCCATTTCTCTCTTTATTTTTCCTTTTGAATCACTTCCACCTGCTAAGACCGTCCTTTTTCTGGCTCCTTCTCGAGGAGTCAGTGACCTCCAGCAGGGACCTTGGAGTCTGCAGGGCCCCAATTCCAGCCCCTGTGGCAAGATTGGGAAGGGGAGCGAGGGAAATGCTGAGTAACCTCCACCAGGGTCCCTGGACCTGGCTGGGCCAAGGGTGGACTAGAGGGTGGGGGTCCTGCCTCTCGAGCCAGTGGGGCAGTGCTGGGCTCTCTGCTTGGGGACAGTTATGTCTGTGGAACATGTTCCTGCTATTGGTTTCTGAGAGATTTAAAGGGGGGCATCCGACACTGGGGAGTGGGCTGGATGTCATCCAGAAACACCTGATTGAAACCTGTGCTGTGGGACTTTGGGGCTAGAGCGTAGGAAGGGGTTGGGGAAGGCTCTGGGTGCCACCTGG